TAATGAACACTAGAAATACATGAGCATTTCAATCAATCGTACATACATTTTCTTGGTCTTCACGCATTAGTCATAAAGAAAACCACTGAGTCTCGGGGCGCCTGGGTGGCTCAGTCGTTAAGCGTCTGCCTTCGGCTCGGGTCATGATCCCGGGGTCCTGGGATCGAGCCCCGCATCGGGCTCCCTGCTCAGCGGGAAGCCTGCTTCTCCCTCTCCCACTCCCCCTGCTTGTGTTCCTGCTCTCACTGTGTCTCTCTCTGTCAAATAAATAAAATCTTTTAAAAAAAAAAAAACAAAACCACTGAGTCTCATTGATTCTGCATCCTAAATGTGCCTCACGCTGATTGCCTCCTTGTTAACCTCACTTTCACTGTCCGGGGGCCTGTCTGTGGGACTGATCTAGTAACCACACCCTCTCCCTTTCTCCGCCCGCTTGCTGCCCTGCGGGCCTGCTCACAGCCTGAGTCCTCCCCGGCGCGCTGAACTCACTGCCCCACCCTTGAGGGGTGGCAGCCCCAGGTGACTCACCCGCACGTGGCAGGGAAGCTCCTTCACAGGGCTGGGGGCTCTGTCTACCTCTTTATGCCCTTCACAGCCACCCCAGCCTCAAACCTCAAACCGGCTCCGTCATTTACTTCCACAATTAATTTTATGTGTCAGTTTGATGAGGCCATGGGATGCCCAGACGCTTGGTCAAACATTATTCTGGTTGTGTTTGTGAGGGTGTTTTGGGATGAGATTAGCATTTAAATTTGAAGACTGAGTACAGCAAATGTGGGTGGGTCCTGTCCAATCAGTTGAAGGCCTGGACAGAACATAAAAACTGACCTTCCTCTGAGCAAGATAGAATTCCTTCTTCCTGGGCGCCTGGGTGGCTCAGATGGTTAAGCGTCTGCCTTCGGCTCGGGTCGTGATCCCAGGGTCCTGGGATCTAGTCCCACATCGGGCTCCCGGCTCAGCAGGGAGCCTGCTTCTCCCTCTGACCCTCGCCCCTCTCATGCTGTTTCTCTCTTGCTCGCTCTCTAAAAAATAAATAAAATCTTAAAAAAAAAAAAAAGAATTCCTTCTTCCTGAATGCCTTCAAGTTGGGACATCAGCGTTTTCCTGCCTTTGGACCCAAACTGAAACATCGGCTTTCCCTAGGCCTTGAGCCTGCTGGCCTTCAGACTGGAGCTACACCTCGGTGCTCCTTGTTCTCAGGCCCTCAGACTTGGACTGGAACTACCTGCTGGCTCCCTCAGGTCTCCAGCTCACCAACTCCACCTGCGCATCTTGGGACTTGTCAGTCTCTACAGTTGTGGGAGCCAATTCCTTGTAACAAGCCTTTCTCTCTAGGTGCTTTCTATTGGTTGTGTGTCTCTGGAGAAACATGACTAATACAAGGAGCTTTTACTAACACCCGACAAATCAACATCTCAGAGATTCCAGAGCCGGAAATCAAACACCCCCCCACTCAGTTTATAGGTGACAACACAGAAGCCCCAGAAGGAAGGTTCTTCCCGCTGCACGTTTTACCAACCACGTTTGCTTCTTAGCCGATGCTTGGAATCCCCTTAACTGGAGACCATAATTAGAAATAAGACATAAGAGGCAAATGTCCTCTTTGGACCCAAAGAGGGAAAATAAGGGACTGACATGAATTCGTAAGAGAATATAAGTGACTTGAAATGTTTTCTGAAGAGCGGTTGTTGAAGGAGGAGGGCAGGGGTATAGAATGAAAAGACAGAGCTGAGACTGCACACATCTGGGGGCACGGATGCATGGAGCTGGCTCCATCCTTAATTTCAGTGAGCTCACAGAAAACTTCTGAAAATACGGTTTTCTAGCAGGAGCGCTTGCATCTTTTTTTTTTTTTTTAAGATTTTATTTATTTTGACAGAGAGAGAGAGAGGGACAGCGAGAGAGGGAACACAAGCAGGGGGAGCAGGAGAGGGAGAAGCAGGCTCCGCGCCGAGCAGAGAGCCCGATGTGGGGCTCGATCCCAGGACCCTGGGATCATGACCTGAGCCGAAGGCAGACGCTTAACGACTGAGCCACCCAGGCGCCCCTAGAAACCATTATTTTTTGAAGTTTGATACTGAAGGGAAGGATAGGCTGATGATGGTTGAGGGGGAAAGTTTTCTTAGGATGGGTGAGACCAAATATGTTGACTGGCAGGATGGAGAGATGAGAGTCTAAGGACCCGAGGGAGGCAAGAGGGGATGGAGCGGGAGGAGGTGAGGGGCGGCTCAAGCTTTGGGCACCCCGCACCTCCAACCTCCCATCCTCGCCTCTGAGCTGTGCTGGGTGCCCCCCTTGGCCTCCCTGATCTAGTCGCTCCATGAGCACTTACTGAGCAGCTCCTGGTGAAGGAACGGCCCTGGACGTTGGGCTGTGAGGGTGACTGAGACCTAGGCTGTCCTCTCAAGGACTCAGTCTGAACGGTGGAACAGACAGAGAAGGTGAGCATGGTGAGCCCCACAAGTAGGGTGGTGCTGGGCTGGTGATATCTGAGCTGAGACATAAAGTCAAGTCGGCCCCAAAGTCAGCGGTGGCAGATGGCATGGGGGAGGGGAACAGGAGGAGCATCCCAAACAGAATGTTTCCCTACAAATCCCCTCCTGCTTCTTCCAAGGCCTGGCCCGCTCCTGTGGTGCTGGGCTGAGAGTGGGAGGACCCTCTCCCCTTCCTCCTTCCCCCTTCCCCCCAGCACAGTCCTCGCCTCTATTTAACTAACACTCCCTCCCTCCCCCCATATCAGAGTGGGTTTTAGCCCCTGTCTTTTAGAAAACTTCTACAGAGAAGAGACTGGTCTTAGTCATCTCCGCATCTCCTTAAGTATCCAGTGTAGTGCTCAGCACGTGGTTAATGCTTAAACATTACATATATATTTTAAAAAGCATTGCTTAATTCTTTTTTTTTTTTTGAAATAAACTCTACCCCCAGGGCGCCTGGGTGGCTCAGTCATTAAGCGTCTGCCTTCGGCTCAGGTCACGATCCCAGGGTCCTAGGATCTAGCCCTGTATCGGGCTCCCTGCTCCGCGGGAAGCCTGCTTCTCCCTCTCCCACTCCCCCTGCTTGTGTTCCCTCTCTCACTGTGTCTCTCTCTGTCAAATAAATAAAATCTTAAAAAAAGAAAGAAAGAAAGAAAGAAAGAAAGAAAGAAACTCTACCCCCAATGAGATCAAGAGTCACATGCTCTACCGACTGAGCCAGCCAGGCGCTCCCCAAAATATATTTTTTGCTCTGAAATTTTCTCAGGCCTGAGGACCACTATCACTGGTAGTAAATTCTCAAGGGGGCCACTGATGGGGTTAAGGCATAGAGGTAAAAAGGGAAAGGAAAAGTAGAGAAAAATAAGGCTGAAGGGGAGGGCTGGGGGTGGGTAGGGAGAAAACAAGAAAACAAAGATCAAGTCTACACACAGTGGGGAGGGAGACAGTTCCAAGCAAAGTCTAACCAGAGTTCTCTTTGCCGTGAAACCTTGCCATTGGATTCTCGTCCAGCCTGGGAGAACCCCCTCTTCTCCCTCCACTTCAGGGCGCTCCCACTGGGAGCTGATTTCGGGACATACTCAATCAGTTACAGGCATCGCCGGGGCATTTTTGGAGTAGCGGGGAGAAGCTGAAAGAAAGAAGTGGGGGGAAAAGCCCTGTCGACCCAACCATTTCCCCATCTTACGGGGTGAGCCTAGACAGAATTTAAATGTCCTTCCCTTGAGAGTCTGAAGGAGGGAAGCTGGTGGCTGTGTCACACTTCTGAACTGGGTATGAAACTCACCAGCTCCGCGTGCTTTCGCGTGGCCAAACTAATTTTGTTTCGCAGCTGGATAAATAAAGGCAGAAAAAAGCTGGCTTTACACATTTTTGAATTAGCACCAAGTCTTCCAAACTCCGCCTCTTTCAGGAAATGTTCCTGAATGCAGTGGGAGGTGGTAATTTCCCTCCTCTCCCTCCTCACCACAACATTGCAAGGCTCAGAGAGCTGCACGTACCCCTACATTTGTCAGCCTGACTCTTCCTTCCCCAACATCTCTGGATCCTTAGCTGAATTTTTTGTCTATGTCAATAGGATCCTAAGAGATAATGGGAGAGAACTGTAAAATTGATGGAAGTCCTGGAGAGGAGTGATGGTCTCTGAGGGTGTCAGTGTCGGTCCATGACTGAAAAGTCCTAAAAAAATAAAAATAAAAAATAAAAGAACAAAGCCTTTTGGTGTGGTTCCTGAGTTCATTTTAAGTGAAAAAAAAATTCCAGCCAGTTATCATAAAATTTACAAGAGAGGAAACAAAACTTCTGGCTTAAAATTCAGAGAAATACATATCCTATAATGTAGGATATGTCAAGCCCCCCAGAATCCACCCAGAATCTTACATGTTATCCACAAGGTAGATTTTCAATCAAGTTACATCTTTTCCAAAGGGCACTTAGGAAAGAAGTGATCAGTTCTGTCCTCTTTCTCCAATACATATTCCGCAGCAATTTTCACAACCCAGAAAAAGTATGTGTATCAAAGACCAATAAAATTGTTTTAAGTTAAAAAATATTAGTGGAGGGCGCCTGGATGGTTCAGTCAGTTAAGATCTGACTCTTGATTTCGGCTCAGGTCATGATCTCAGAGTTGCAAGATTGAGAACCACGTTGGGTTCTGTGCTAAGGTGTGGAGTCTGCTTGAAGATTCTCTCTCTCCCTCTCCCGCTACCCCTCTCCCTCCATCTCTAAATAAATAAATTAATTTTAAAAAAATCTTTAAAAAATATATTAGTGGAGGAGGAAAGAAGTAGACTCAGTGTAGATTCCAGTGAAGAAAAGCATATGAAGCTATTTCTGAGGTGTGTTTGGGACAGGTCATGAAATGTGTTAGATCCATAGTATGCCCCAGGCAGGTAACTGCAATAAAGTCATGTCTTGTCATGTCCTCTCTGGGAAATACAGGGTGTTTTGTGAAGATTACAGCTAGGGCTGAAAGATGTTTCCATGAACTTTCCTCATAGTCTAGAGGCCACAAACACCTTGTTCAAAGGCTTTTTCATGGGTTTTCTCTGGACCTGGAATACCCTCTGATTATAGGTATTATTGTTGGGGATGAAACTTCTTTGCCCAGAATAATAGTCTTGGTGTAAAGATATTTCTAACCATCACGCCACTGGTTGTCTTTGGTGAATTTTAGGGTCTTGATAGGTACTGGGGTTAGCAAATACTGTCAGATTCAGTATCCAGCTAGCCTGTGTTTTATTTTCAAAGGTAACTGCTCCTTTAACATTTCAAGCCCCACAAATGTAATAACTACAGAGTCCTTCAACAAGAATTCAAAGTCTACTTTGATCAACTGTTTTTTTCTTTGCCTCTATCCACCACAGACAAGTGAAAGGTATGAATAGCTTTTATTTTTAAAGATACTGAAAGTGAGGCCCAAAAGGGGTAAGTCATAAGGGTTTTCTCAGGAGGATCAAGCTTGGAGTTGAGGGAGATTGAAAGGCGAGAACTCAGAAATCCCCAAGTTTTATTCCCTCATGTCATACATGCTGCAGTTTGCTTCACATCTATTCCTATCTGGGACCGCCGATGCTTCCTCTGACTTAAAGCTATCTCTTCTTTACTTCTAGTGCTGCAAGACATTGCCTGGAAGACAGGACGGGCAATCAGATGGTTCTATGCTTGCTCAGTCAGAGTCCATGAAATATTTCTTTAGGAAAAAGGGATATTAACTTGGGGTAATGAAGAGGCAGCGAAATAGAAGAGAGGGAAGGGGAAGTTCCTTCGAGAAATCATCATAACCAGGTGTTATTGGGAAAGGAAATGTCATTAAATTAGGGGAATAGGGGTGGCAGGGCTGGGGTAACTAAAATGGTTGAAAAACACAATGGAGGGCAGTCCAGGCAGAAAAACAGACATGAAACCACTTAAATAAAATCTGTAAATTTTATTTGAGATAACCCTGAGTAGCCAAGGCTAGGACTGGAAATCTATCTGGAAATCTATCCAGTGGGAAAGTGACCAAACAAGATAACAAAAAAGCAACATAACCACCACGGAGTTTGCAAAAACAACCATCTGTTGTGTAAGGAACCGTGGAGAGAGATTCTGTACTTACAGAATCTTGCGTGGGAAAACCAGGCACATTAATAAACTTTTTCCCCCAGTTCACCAATCTGAAATCTGACTTTTCTTCTAGTTTCTCTGCTGTCAACATGTACTGTTAAAAAAAAAAAAAGTCCATTTAAAAACAGACAGACAAGGGGCACCGGAGTGGCTTAGTTGTTGGGCATCTGCCTTCAGCTCGGGTCGTGGTCCTGGGGTCAAAGCCCCGCATCTCGGGCTCCCTGCTTGGCGTGGGGGCCTGCTTCTCCCTCTCCCACTCCCACTGCTTGTGTTCCCTCTCTCGTTGTGTCTCTCTCTGTCAAATAAATAAATAAAATCTTAAAAAAAAAAAAAGACAGACAGACTTGCTATGACTAATTTAAGAACTCCCAAAGTAGGCTCTTTTCCAAAAATACATTGCAATTGACAAGACTGTCAACTCCATCTGAAGGAATTGTGATACCACTTGCAGACCCTGAGGCTGAATCAGAGGTTCTCTGCTAGTTTGGGCAGAGCAGGTTAGTCTGTTGAAGAGTTCCACAACGCTGAACTGTTCTTGGTCTAAGGCTTAAAATGAAATGTTTCTATAAACAAATGTTTCCAAGAGTGTATCTTAAACAGCCTACCTTAATAATTCTTATTTTTTTCCTCCCCTTTCTAAAATGGAAACTGTTGCGAGGAAACATTTTATATCAGAGGCCAAAAGTGCTAGTGTTTTTCAGTTATTGCACGTTTCCTCTTAATGAAAATATGTTTACATCCTCTTGTAAAATTATTTTTAAAAAGGTAACATCTTTCGGTAGTGTTGTTTTTACAGGAATACCTCTGTGTTATAATTACTGTCTTAGGGTGGAGGAGGTTGGAAATAAAGTGAAGAGCTAATTCTCTTCCAAAAGCCTACCAGGGTTAATAGGATCACACTTTACTCGGTGAGTTCAATTAATTTTACCTTGAATTCCGCTGTGCGGGTGAGGTGGAGGCAAAAATAAATGACATCACCATTTACTGGGTGTCTACTGTGTGCCAGGAAATGCACTAAGCACATTAGTCTTTATCTCATTCGATCTTTCCAGCAATGCTGCACATTATCATCTTCATTCTACACAAGGAACAGAGGTTCAGAGAGGTTAAGCAACTCCGCAGGTCTTAGAGGTAGTAATGGCCACCTAAAGGTAACACACACTGGCCTTCTGGTTTCTTGTTAAATAGAATATGCCATCTATTTCTTTGGGGTTTTGTTCAGCACTCCAGCTTACTGACTGCGCGTCTCTTCTGCTGCTAACTTAGTCAAGTAGTCTTTAGTACCAAGTGTGATTGGTTCCTTAAGAATTCTCATTAGGGCGCCTGGGTGGCTCAGTCGGTTAAGCGACTGCCTTGGCTCAGGTCATGATCCTGGAGTCCCGGGATCGAGTCCCGCATCGGGCTCCCTGCTCGGCGGGGAGTCCGCTTCTCCCTCTGACCCTCCTCCCGCTCATGCTCTCTGTCTCTCATTCTCTCTCTCTCAAATAAATAAATAAAATCTTTAGGGCGCCTGGGTGGCTCAGTCGGTTAAGCGACTGCCTTCGGCTCAGGTCATGATCCTGGAGTCCCGGGATCGAGTCCCGCATCGGGCTCCCTGCTCGGCGGGGATTCTGCTTCTCCCTCTGACCCTCCCCCCTCTCATGTGCTCTCTCTCATTCTCTCTCTCAAATAAATAAATAAAATCTTTAATAAAAAAAAGAATTCTCATTAATGAGAACCTATGTGCTAGAAACTCTACTCGGTGACTTGCGCACCTGATCTGCTTTAATCATCACAATTCTAAGAGACTGGGTTCTCTCCGTTTCAGATGATGAACGTTTTGGGAAGTAAAGAAAGTGACTAGGGTCTCCAAGATAGTGAGGGGTAAAGCCACGACTGGATTCCAGGTCCGACTCCATTTGTCAGTCGCCGGGCCAGTGAGCCACAGCGCTGATTTAATATCCATCGGGGGTGTTCGTTGTGTCCTGGGAGCCGGTACTTCGGTGAGCAAGCTGCGGCAGCACCAACTCCTCCGTCCACTCAGCCGGGAACAATGCAGGACAAGTGGCCTAGCAGAGAGAAGCCCTCACGCTTCAGCTCAGCAACAAGAGAGGTGGTCCCCTGGACCGCCGCCCAGCGAGCGCCACCCCCTCTCCCGGACGCGGGAGATGCGGAGAGGTCCCCAGCCGTCCGAGACCCCCGCACACAGATGGCAGCTTTGGTTCTGCGGACTCGGTCGGACGCTTCAGCAAAAGCCGTTGGCAGCCACTCAGTGGTCCGGCGGAGAGCGGCGAGTGCGGAACTCCAAGGGGCACCCGCCCTGAGCGCAAGCCTGCCCCCCGAGACCCCCCGAAAGCTGGGCTTGGGCGGCCGCCGCTCACCGCCCGACACCCACAGCGGCTCCGCCAATTCCCGCCCCCGGAAGTGACGCGTGGCGGCAACGGCGTCTGGGAGGGGCCCCGACGTAGCCGGGGGGTTTGAGAGTGGCGGCGGCCGCGGAGCGACTGGCAGGCCGGGCCCCGGCGAGGAACGCCCCGAGCGCGCGCCCGGCGGCTAGCGGCCCCACGACCCGCGCCGCGGCCGCCGCCGCCGCCGCGTGCGGGGGCGGGGAGGGCGGGGCGCGAGAAGCCGCGGCGGGCGCGGCGGCGGCGGGCGATGCGGGCGGCTGCGGGCACCCGGCGGGCTCGGCTCGGCCGCCGCCGCCTTCTTCGGCTCCGCCGCGGGGGTCGCAGCGGCTGCCGCGCCGTCCTCGAGCTCCCAGCGTGAGGAGGCGGCGGGCAGAGAGAAGCATCACGCTCCAGGCGGAGACCCAGAGGGAACCCCGCGGGCGGCCTCGGTGAGCGGCGCGCCCCGTCCACCCCGCGCCTCGTTCGGGCTCTCGCGGCCGCCGCCCCCCGCCGCGGGGAGCGGGGGGAGCAGGGGCCGGGGAAGGGGGAGGAGGCGGCACAACAGGAAGTGAGCGTGGCGGCGGGGGCGGGCGCGCGCTCCCCTGGGACCCGCCCCCGGCCCGCCCTGCCCTGGCCGCGGCCCCCGCCCCGCGGCGCGCAGGTGGACGGCGGAGCGCTCGGTCCCCCGCTTCGCCCCTCAGGTCCCTGGGGCACAGGGTGGCAGTGGCTCTTTGGCTTGGAGGCGGGGGGCGAATTCTGACTCTTTGTGGTGACAGGAAGTTGGGAAATGAAAGTACAGTAATTCAGAGCTTACCGAGGCCGCGTGAGGTTGCGGCTCTTCCCCGGACTTTGATCTGCTCTGGGGCACACGGTCACCGAAGTTTCTTCCTCTCCCCGAGCTCGCTGTTCATCCGGTGTCAATTTTCATTTCTTTTTCTACTTCTGTCCCGCGAGCCCTTTCCCCCCCTTGACTTTGCGTTTAATGTACAGCTGCCGCGAGGCTGGTCGCCTCTTGGTTCCTGGGAGGATCAATTGGAAACATCTTTTGGGGGCGGAATATTAATTAACTGGCCTTGGCAGGAAATAAGGGGTATTGTTGGCTGACGGAAGTAGTCAAAAAATACACAGTTGGCTTTCTCCCAGGCTGTGGAAGTTTAGGGCATTTGAAGTTGAGGGCATTCACATGAAGACTCCGGAGTCTCTTCCTCATCACAACAGTGGATCAGGTCCTCCCTTCCCTTTTGCCGGCTCCCAGCCACCACCCCACTGCGCGGAAAACTTGGTGCTTTAATATTTAGGACTGTTAGTGGTGTTTCCATTAAAATGTTGTATGATTCCGCCCACCTTCCCCCACCTCCCCGTCAGGAACTCCCTTCTCTTTGATTTTACTTAAACGTTAAAACTGCGAATGTGAAATCCATTACATTCTTAGGGAAATGCTTTCAAGTTTTACTGCAATGTAATTATACTTTTAATATATGTATATATTTTTTAAGATTTTATTTATTTATTTGACAGAGAGAGACAGGGAGAGAGGGAATACAAGCAGGGGGAGTGGGAGAGGGAGAAGCAGGCTTCCCGCGGAGCAGGGAGCCTGATGCAGAGCTTGATCTCGGGACCCTGGGATCATGACCTGACCCGAAGGCAGGCACTTAACGACTGAGCCACCCAAGCGCCCCAACTTTTCATATGTTCTTAATATAGGGTACTGTACTGTGTTAAGAGATTCCTGGTTACTTTTTGTAAAGAATGGTGATTTTAGTTCAAAACTAGTCTTGATACATAATTGTTTTTGTTTTTTTTTAAAGATTTTATTTATTTATTTGAGAGAGAGAATGAGGCAGAGAGAGAGCATGAGAGGGGGGAGGGTCAGAGGAAGAAGCAGACTGCCCGCTGAGTAGGGAGCCCAAGGCGGGACTCAATCCTGGTGATCCAGGATCATGACCTGAGGCGAAGGCAGCCGCCCAACCCAACTGAGCCACCCAGGGGCCCCTCCTTTTGTTTTATTTAAGCAGCACGCTGAATTTGGAGACCGTTAGTATTTGGGTCTTAGCTGCAGTTTCTGAAAAATAGTTGGGCTATGGGTCACCACAGCAACTGGACTGTGTGTATTATAAACATGTTTAGGGTGGAAAAAGTTTCATTTACTAGAGAGTTCCTTTCCCTAATAGGTTATTTCAACATGCTTTCTTTCAGTTTACCTCTTGGATTGACCTATTTTTGAGGTGTTAAGGTAGAATCAGTTACGTTTTCAACATTTAACTCCTCAGTCACGTTCTTTCATTTGCAACAGTTAAGTATTTCTCTCCCTCATTATACTTCTGAAAAGCTAATTTTAGAAAACTTGAGTTTTTCCATGAAGGAAAGTAAAGGTTTTTATTGATAAGTAGCTAGAATAAAAGTATTTGTATTTTTCAACTTGTCATTTCACCTTTTTAATAACTGTCTTCTGGAAGTTTTTTTCTTTAGAGCTCTTTTATGGCTGAGGAAATAATTGAATTTCGTGTTGATAGCCACTTTTAGGAACTGAAATGAAGAGGTTCAACTTGACTGTATACCCAGAGGTTCACCAGCTTTTCAATTAGAGTATGACCTGATTCCAGAATTGAATGAATAAAATACTCCTTTATTTTATTTATTTATTTATTTTAAAGATTTTATTTATTTATTTGACAGAGAGAGACACAGCGAGAGAGGGAACACAAGCAGGGGGAGTGGGAGAGGGAGAAGCAGGCCTCCCGTGGAGCAGGGAGCTCGATGTGGGGCAGGGAGCTTGATGTGGGGCTCGATCCCAGGACCCTGGGATCATGACCTGAGCTGAAGGCAGACGCTTAACGACTGAGCCACCCAGGCGCCCCTAAAATACTCCTTTAAAGTACCCACTGAAGATGTCCATTTTATATCCATGTTAGTTTTTTGCAAAAGAACATTCTTTTCCAGGGCTTCATTCCAAAACCACGATGCCCTTTGATTCTAAACAACCTTCTATCCCAGAGGCACTGAGAAGTACTAAAAAAGCATCAGCATTTTCCCCAACAGTTGGGTTCTGCCCTGAAGTAGCAGCGGCTCACCAGCATTTGACTCAGTCCGTGCGCTCCCCTAATAACCAGGAGGGAAGGTAGAAGTTAAAAGGTGAAACCTGAACCCCTATGGGTGCACACCCACACTTTGGGGACCCTCCCCTTTGCCCAGGATGGCACTGTGTGTTCACTGTGGAGATGGTGATGCTTATTTCTGTCTTTGCATCCATACCTTAGCCATTATAAACCCGTGGGGCTCAAGCATTATCTACATGATAGGTAGTAAGACTCTAGGATTTAGTTTGGGAATTTTCCCAAAAACAAATGGAATTACAGGCACCAAATTCGTAGTCATTTTGAGATTTCAGTTCTCTGTCCTTCATCTTCTCCCCTCCCTCTCTCTGTCCCCTACCTCCCGTTTCCCCTCTTTCCCCTCCCCCTGGTATTCTCCCTCTCCCTCTCCCTCTCTCTCTCTCACACACACAGACACTCACACCCCGACCCCTATAAGCATTTTTTTTTTTTTCAAGTAGGCTCCATGCCCAGCATGGAGCCCAGTGTGGGGCTTGAACTCAGGACTCTGAGATCAAGACCTGAGCTGAGATCAAGAGTGTAGACACTTAACTGATAAGCCACCAGGAGCCCCCCTAGGCATTCTTGATATGAAGATGATGTCTGGAAGTATGGAGACAGTTCTTCAGTTAAGCTAAAATTTACTAGGGAGTAGTTTTAACAGGTGTAGACTAAAAAAAAAAAAAAAAAAATCATTTAGATGGGAAACATGTAATTAAAAGTAGCCATGAACAGACATCATTAGAAGAAAGGGTCTCTGGTAAATTGAGAAAAATGGTATTCCTCCCCCCCCCCACCCCATACTTGATGGATCATAATATAAAATCACTTTTTTTTATTTAAAAGATTTTATTTATTTATTTGACAGAGAAAGAGACAGCGAGAGAGGGAACACAAGCAGGGGGAGTGGGAGAGGGAGAAGCAGGCCTCCCACTGAGCAGGGAGCCCGACGTGGGGCTCGATCCCAGGACCCTGGGATCATGACCTGAGCCGAAGGCAGATGCTTAACGACTGAGCCACCCAGGCGCCCCTAAAATCATTCTTTTTTAAGTAAGCCCTGTGCTCAACCTGGGGCTTGAACTCAGAATCCCAAGATCAAAAGTCACATGCTCTACTGACTGAGCCAGCCAGGTAACCCCTAAAACTACTCTTTTAACTCAGCTTAGGTGAGGCTGTGGGAAAGGTTAGTGGGTAGGGTTACTTAGCATCAAAGTCGCACTTCATATTTGTTAGGCCATTATCACTTAGTATCTTATTGTAATACTTGTTATAACCTACTGGTGATGTGAATGCAGTTATCCACCTAGGGAATGGTTCTGATGAACAGAGTTTGTGACTGTGATGAGAGAAACTTGGATTCATGGGCTCAGCTTCTCCATTAACTGTGATTGGGGACATCTCCTGCTTCCTGTTCTTTTTTATTTTCCCATCTCTACTTTTGGATGACAGTATCTGTAACCAGCTTCGAAGCAACGACTAAGGATTATTGGAGGACATTTTGAGTGTCTTGGAAAAGTTCTAGAAACCCAGCTATCTTCTGCTGCAGTTTCTCATCTGCCTTTTTTGGGAGCAGACATAGTTGACCCTTAAAGGATCCCATTCTTTGTGAGTTACACGTTGTTAGAATTAGGCTTCTAAGGCCTACGGTTTTGTAATATTTGTAGTGTTAGTTTGTTTTTAGCGTCTTTATTGAGATAAAATTCATCTACTTAAGTTGTACAATATGGTGGTTTTAGTATATTCAAAGATTTGTGTAACTACCACCACAATCCTAAGTTTAGAATATTTACATCACCCCATTAGCAGTAACTCCCCATTCGTCTGTCCACCCAGCCCCTAGCAACCACTGATCCACTTTCTGTGTTGAATGCATTTGTCTATTCTGGACATTTCATATAAATGGAAATACAATATGTGGTCTTTTGTGGCTGGCATCTTTCACTTAACGTAACATTTTCAAGGTTTGTCCATGTTGTAGCATGTACTAGTACTTTAGTCCTTTTTCTGGCTAAATAATACTCCACCGTGTAGTTATACCACATTTTGCCTGTCCATTCATCAGTTGATGGACATTTGGTTGTTTCTACTTTTTGGGTATTGTTATGGAATAATGTTGCTGTAAACACTCCTGTACACGTGTCTGCGTGGACATGTATTTTCAGTTCTTTTGGGTATGTACCTAGGAGTGGAATTGCTGGGTCATATGGTAACTCTGTTTAGCATTTTGAGGAACTATCACACTGGTTTCCAAAGTGGCTATACCATTTTCCATTCCTACCAGCAATGCATGAGGGATTCACTTTCTTTACATCCTAGCCAACACTTCTTACGGTCTTTTTGATTACAGCCATCCTAATAGGTGTGAAGTGGTATCTCATGTGGTTTTGATTTTCAGTTCCCTAATAACTAATGTTGAGTACCTTTTCATGAGCTTATTGTCAGTTTGTCTATCTTCTTTGAAGATATGTCTTTGCAAATCTTTTGCCTAGTTTCTGGTTTTTTTTTAATTATAAGAATTCTTTTTTTTTTTTTTTTTTTAAGATTTTTAAGTAATCTCTACACCCATTGTGGGGCTTGAACTCACAACCCTGAGATCAAGAGTTGCATGCTCCACTGACTGAGCCAGCCAGGCGCCCCTAATTATGAGAATTTTGGGGGCACCTGCGTAGCTCAATCGGTTGAGTGTCCGACTCTTGATATCAGCTCAGGTCATTTTCTCAGGGTCCTGGGATTGAGCCCTGTATGGGGCTCCACATTCAGTGGGGAGTCTGCTTGAGGATTTTTCTTTTTTCTTTTTTTTTTAAGATTTTATTTATTTATTTGACAGAGACACTGCAAGAGAGGGAACACAAGCAGAGGGAGTGGGAGAGGGAGAAGCAGACTTCCTGCTGAGCAGGAACCCGGATTTGGGGCTAGATCCCAGGACTCTGGGATCATGACCTGAGCTGAAGGCAGACGCTTAATGACTGAGCCACCCAGGCACCCCGAGGATTTTTCTTCCTCTCCCCCGGCTTGTGTGCCTTCTCTCTTTCTCAAATAAATAAATAAATCTATTTTTTTAAAAAAGATTTTGTTTATTTGAGAGAGAGCACAAGGGGGTAGGGGGGAGCAGCAGAGTCAGAGGGAGAAGCAGGCTCCCCACCAATCAGGGAGTCCAACTTGGGGCTTGATCCCAGGATCCTGAGATCACGACCTGAGCCGAAGGTAGACACCCAACCAATTGAGCCACCCAGGCACCCTAAATAAATAAATCTTTTTTAAAAATTCCTTTAGGAACAAAGAATTCTCTGGCCCAAAATGTCAGTAGAGCCAAAATTGAGAAACTCTGGCCTGAACAGGGAGATCCTAAAACCTGAGATATTGAATGATTTTTCATTTCATGTCTTGATAATCAGATAAAGGCCACTAATCAAATAAAGGAGGATCTATAGGGGCGCCTGGCTGGCTCAGTCAGTAGAGCATGCGACTCTTGATCTCAGTGTCATAAGTTCAAGCCCCACGTTGGGCATGGAGCCTTCTTTAAAAAAAAAAAAAAAAAGGAGTAACCCTGTGGGCAGAGTGGTGACAGAACTTGTAAATTAAATCAGGGAGCATTTTCTGAATTTTCAGTGCTGCCAATTTAAATGTAAATTAATTTATGAGAACAGAAACGATTTGGAGGAGAAATGCCAATGGAGCAAAAGTAGATTTATGCCCTACATCTTCGGGCCACCGTGAGACACACACATACTCCTGGCAAATAAACCAAGTTGCTTGATTTAAATGGTGGTCTCAGAGGATAGGACAAGGAGGTTTTCAGATAAAACTCAGGAACAGCGGTGCTCTGGTGACCTACAGTCCTCAGACTGCTCCTATGACTTACGGAACTCGCTTTCTCTCCCAGCAAGGCTTTTCTTAAGCAATGTGGCTTGCTCAAGAGCAGATTGCCTGGGTTTAAATGTCAGCTCCATCATTTAGTTGCTTGGCCTCAGACAAGTGACTTAACTCTTTTCTGAATACGTTTTTTCAAATGTAAAATGAGGCTGCAACAGTATCTGTTTTGTAGGATTGTTGTGGGAGTGAAATGAAGTAATACATTTGGAGCATGGTGCCTGGCATATGGTGTCCTGTACGTGTTGGCTGTTAATATTATTATATGTCTTATCTGTACGCCTCTTTCAGCTCATTGCTATGGACAGTGCTATCACCCTGTGGCAGTTCCTCCTCCAGCTCCTACAGGAGCCTCAGAACAAGCACATGATCAGCTGGACCTCTAATGATGGGGAGTTCAAGCTCTTGCAGGCAGAAGAGGTGGCTCGTCTCTGGGGGATTCGTAAGAACAAGCCTAATATGAATTACGACAAACTCAGCCGAGCCCTCAGATACTATTATGTAAAGGTAATACACATCCACCTCAAAACAAGAGTTGTTTCTTCTGTTGAGGTTATAAGGTACTAATGTCCTTTTTTATTTGAGGTATAATTGACATAAAACATTATATTAGTTTTAGGTGTACAACATAATGAATTGATATTTGTGTACATTGCAAAATGACCACTGTCCTGGTTTATTTTCATCCAATTTATTTCATAACTTCAGCAGTTTGGAATTAGGATGAAACATGTAAATGTCCCAGCTCTATTTCTGCAGTCCCACTGCTCACGCATATGTTGTTCCTAATTGCAGTTGTCTGTAAAGAAAAAGTGAGTATAGGGTTGGAATAAGGAAAAGAAAATTTGAGATTCTTGAGGACAAAATAAAACATATATATCATAATTTAAAAGTTGTCACATATATGCTTTTATTTTTAGCTTTATTTTTTAATTTAACCCAGAGAACACAAGTTAATACTTTAAAGAATAGCTGTTAATACACAGATTTGATTTCTTAGTTAAAATTTATTTTTTGCTTAATTTCATATTATTTTGGATACATTCTTGGGCTCTGAGGTGAAATGAATGGCTCAAATGGATAGAATTAGAATGAGAGGCTGAGATCTTAATTTCTTTCACTTTTAAGTGGTTGGTCTTACCAGTTCCCCCCAAGGTGGGTGTGAGGTAAGAAAGAACTGGAACTTCGGAAAGAAGTAGAAGGCCCAGCAGAAGTAATGTTCTCTTCCTTTGTGCTTACTCAGGATGCGAATGGCTGGTACCTTTGGAATTGTTTGAGACCACAGTTCAGTGATCTTTGACTTAATACAAATAATTTGGTTGAGGGTGTTAGGCAATTGAAAACCTCTCTTTTACGTAACATGTCATTTCAGTTGTTCATAAGACATTTAAATATGCTCAGCTCATGTTCCATAGCGCTAGGACCTGGGTTTGGTATGGCTAGATAAATGAAGGTGATTTTGAGGCTCTCAAGTAAACTACTTGCCAAATAGAGACCCTTATGAAGTCAGCTTCTTCCTGAGCTGTGAGAGGTACATTTGCAAGAAAATATAAGCATGCTTATTTTATTTATCTACAGAATATCATTAAAAAAGTGAATGGTCAGAAGTTTGTGTACAAGTTTGTGTCTTACCCAGAGATTCTGAAAATGGACCCACTGACCGTGGGCAGGACTGAGGGAGACTGTGACGCTGTGAGCTGCAGTGAAGTCGGCGGCAGCTGCAGGGACCCTGAGAGTGGGGGCAGGGAGAAGCCCCCGCAGCCCGGGGCCCGGGCCTCCAGCCGCAACGACTACATACACTCCGGCTTGTATTCTTCCTTTACTCTCAACTCTTTGAACTCCTCCAGTAAGAAGCTCTTCAAACCTATAAAGATTGAGAGTCCAGCTGAGAAGCTGGCAGAGAAGAAGCCGCCTCAGGAGCCAACACCGTCTGTCATCAAATTCGTAACAACACCTTCCAAAAAGCTGCCAGTTGAACCTGTTGCCGCCGCCCTGTCAGGCGGCCCAAGCATTTCTCCATCTCCGGAAGAAGCGCTCCAGGTGTTGGAGACTTTGGCTTCCCCCAGACTGCCTTCCCTGGAAGCCCCGGCCTCTGCAGCCGGCGGCACCCCCGCCTTTGCCACGCCCCCCATCTCCGCCTCCCCTTCTGTGCAGGAGCCCCCCAGGACCCCTTCACCGCCGCTGAGTCCCAACCCCGACATTGACACCGACATCGAGTCCGTGGCCTCGCAGCCCATGGAACTTCCCGAGAACTTGTCACTGGAACCTAAAGACCAGGATTCAGCTTTGCTGGGAAAGGACAAAACAAGTAATTCCTCAAGATCCAAGAAACCCAAAGGCTTAGAGCTGGCGCCCATCCTTGTGATCACGGGCAGTGACCCGAGCCCCCTGGGAATATTGAGCCCGTCCCTCCCCACAGCTTCTCTTACACCAGCACTTTTCTCACAGGTAACCGCCTCTTGCTTTCTGGAGCCACCGATGTTTGCACTGACCCCCCCTTTTAAAACAAATCCAGAATCGACCACCGCCCGTTCTCATGCTGCTACTTAAGTCTGTCTTAAAAAGGTGGGCTGTGACCCCATGAAAGTAACCCAGTTCCGCACCTAATCGGAACTACTGCAGGCGAGGTTTGGAGGAGCGTTCTAAAAGAACTCATTGTCTCTGCAAGCCAAGAAATATTTGTCAACTTCCTCCTCAAACTCTTCTCGCTTGCTCTCTTTTTTGGGGGGGGGGGTCGTCTTATAAAACTCATTGGTATCTTATACAAAAATACCGATAACGTCAAAAGCTAGAAAACAAATCCTGAGAACCTTAAGAAAACCAACTGGTGTGATGTTGAGAAACAAGTTTGTACAGTTAACATTAGCTATTTCTTAACTTGCTCATCTCCTATAACATTTATTTATTTATTTAAGAGAGGGGGTGGAGAGGGAGAGAGAGAAAATCTTTTTTTGTTTTTAAGATTTTATTTCTTTGACAGAGAGAGACACAGCGAGAGAGGGAACACAAGCAGGGGGAGTGGGAGAGGGGGAAGCAGGCTTCCCGCAGAGCAGGGAGCCTGATGCGGGGCTCGATCCCAGGATCCTGGGATCATGACCTGAGCCGAAATCAAGAGTCCAACTCTTAACTGAGCTACCTAGGCACCTCCCCTGTAACATTTAAATAGGTGAATCCAGACCTCCCATTACTAAGGAGAACTGTGTTTGTGACTTTAGTTACCCGTTATTTCTCTGCACTTGACCAGATTGGTTTCTCTATTTGGGAAAGACCCTACAAAACACAGGTTAGAAAATATTTTGCCCTTTATCTTTCTTAGGTTGTAAAAATAATTTCTGAGCTTTTCCTCATGGTAAAATTTCAGACATACTTAGTGGAGAAGAGGACAATATTTGGGTTCAGGGTTGGGGCACCTGGGTGGCTCAGTCGGTTAAGTGTCTGCCTTCCGCTCAGGTCATGTTCCCGGGGTCCTGGGATCGAGCCCTGCGTCAGGCTCCCTGCTCGGCGGGAAGCCAGCTTCTCTCTCTCCCTCAGCGCCCCTTCGCAACCCCCCCTTGTGTGTATGCTCTGTCTCTCTCAGATAAATAAATTAAAATATTTGGGTTCACGGCTATTGGTGTATTATTATAAGGTTGAAACATAATCCTGGTGAGTCACTTAGTGACCATCTTTGTTCTGCATGTTGCAGACGCCCATCTTACTGACGCCGAGCCCCTTGCTCTCCAGCATCCACTTCTGGAGTACTCTCAGCCCTGTTGCTCCTCTGAGTCCAGCCAGACTGCAAGGTGCTAACACACTCTTCCAGGTGAGTCACCTCCAAGCCTGTCTCTTGCAGTTGGGGCCTGGCACATGAAGAAAGAGAAAGGCCGTGTCTTCACTCTTCAGTCTCCTCATTATAAAACTTCTGTTTAATAAATACGCTCTACGAGGGTTGATTGGCCAGCCGGCAAACGACTCCGACAGATACAGCCACGCTTCCTTTTCATTCTTTATTGTTACATACATTTCAGTTAGACCCGTTAGTGTTCAGTACTGTAGTAGATTTTGAACCCACCCAGTTTCTTTGTCATTTTAAATGCTAGAAATCCTCTTTTTTTTTTTTCTTGGAAAAGAAAATACACACGTGTGAAAATTTGCGGGAGAGTCTGCACATAGGTCTCCTCTTTTACCGAGGATTTTTAAAAAAGAAAACTTTTGAGAATGGTCTATCAAATACTCCCATTTCTCACTCACTTAGAATTGATACTTATCAATATTTTAAATATATGTTTAAAAAAATGGGTATTGTAGTATCCCTTAACTGAGATCATAGGAAAGTCTCACAGCGTTTTTTTTTTTTTTAAGATTTTATTTATTTATTTGAGAGAGAGAGAATGAGAGAGAGAGAGAGCACATGAGAGGGGGGAGGGTCAGAGGGAGAAGCAGGCTCCCCGCTGAGCAGGGAGCCCGATGCGGGACTCGATCCCGGGACTCCAGGATCATGACCTGAGCCGAAGGCAGTTGCTTAACCAACTGAGCCACCCAGGCGCCCGGTCTCACAGCTTTTAACCATTATTTTTCCCCAAGCATCTAGACTTTATAAGTTACAGAGTTTATTTTGGTTGATTCATTCACTTATTTAGGGGTAACTCACTGGGAGATTTCTTATATTTTACAATTTAGTTTTTCATTTGTTCTTTTGGAAATGAAATGGAAAAGAAAATGAAAAAATGAAAAAAAAATTTTTTTTTTTAAGATTTATTTATTTATTTGACAGAGAGAGACACAGCGAGAGAGGGAACACAAGCAGGGGGAGTTGGGAGAGGGAGAAGCAGGCCTCCCGTGGAGCAGGGAGCCCGATGCGGGGCTCGATCCCAGGACCCTGGGACCATGACCTGAGCCAAAGGCAGACACTTAATGACTGAGTCACCCAGGCGCCCTGACAAATCTTTCTACTTCTGCATTTTTTTTTGCAAAAAGTTCTAAGTTACCGAATGGAAAGAGTGTTGAGAATGTTTCATATTTTATTTTTACATTTTTCTTTGCCTCTCACAGATAATTGAGTTGTAGAGAGATCTGAGACCTTAAAGGCACAGTGCTCGTGCAATTTCAGCGTGGACTCTCCCTATAGAACTGGTCTTCGAATACATGATGGGGAGCTCTGTTCTAGGATGAGCACCCTGTAACTATTTGCACCAGTTATAGAGTTCATAGATGGGCATCTCTTTCTGGACCTCTTTTTGACTGTGATTTGCTTTGTAATTGGATTATATTCTATAGTGTATGAACTTTCTAAAACCTTCGTGTGAAGTTAAACATAAACCTGTATACCTTAGGCTATGAGGGAAGGTAGGCCAGAGAGTGTTAATATTTAACATGTAGGACAAGCAGTTTTTTTCTTTAAAGTTTTTCCTGTGACATCATATTCTTCCACGATAAATGGTTCCCACCTTCGTCCCGTGAGTCACTGCAGGCAGCTCTCACATTCTGCCTCAGGGACTGTAGTGGGGACAGAAAGTGAAAGTTGGGGTTGAGTAATAGGATGATAATGTGTTTTATTTTCTTTCTCAGTTTCCTTCTGTACTGAACAGTCATGGACCGTTCACTGTGTCTGGCCTGGATGGACCACCCACCACCCCTGGCCCATTTTCCCCAGATCTACAGAAAATATAACCTATGCACTTGTGGAATGAGAGAACCAAGGAATAAAGAAACAGAGTCGTTCAACATGATTACATTTGAAGTGAGCAGTTAATAGTTCTACAATGCTAATAATAGACTATTGTGATTTTTGCCATTCCCCATTGAAATGCCTTTTTAAGATTCCCTTTGAATATGACTCAAGTTGGACTGTATATGAAAATGCCTTAATTGGAGTCCAAACTCCACCTCCCTCTTCCTTCCTTCACTCCTTCCTTCCTTCCTTCCTTCCTTCCTTTCTAAATATTTTGAGCTTTGTGTTAAAGAAATTTTTGGTGGGGTTTAGCAGCTAGCTATGCTTTGCAAGAGCAGTTAAGAACAAAGTTACTCCTGCCTTATTGGGACCCTTTGGCCAGGAAAACAGTGATGCTTTGAGTGTATTATTTGGAGAAATGTGAACTGCAGTTGGCCGTATCTTCAGGACTAAGTGTGTTCTGTGGAATAACTAAAAGTGAGCTGTGTACAAGCAGTGAAGGAAAAGGAATCCTTCCTGTTCACACAAAGTAAGATTGGAGCAGTATTATCAGAGAGATTCTATTTGGCTGTAAAGGGGAACGTAGGTAGGCAACTCCACAGAAAGACATCTTCCTTACCTTTATCACATGGGTTTCTTAGCCATAAGTGTGATCTTGTTTGAACCTGTGAACAGAGCATGGAGCCTAGTCTGTTTCAACATAGGAAGATATTTTAAACTTGGGGTTTAAGATAGTGTTTGCAGCAACCAGTGAGAATAGGGGACCCCATCTCCAGCACGGAAGTGCCGTCAACTCTCTGGGTGGTATGATTATACCCCCGTGGTACACAGCCTGGTAAGTGATGGTTTTTAGGATGAAGCTGGGTTTTGGAATCTTGAGGCATCTCTGAATGAAACGTTCAACTGAATGACTTGAAACAACATGTGGGGCTGTCCCAGTTAGAAGAGACTTTTTCTTTCCTGTTCATTTTACCCTATTTTCCACTGCATATTTACCTTCTTTTAAATTTAAGGTTGTTAGGGGTTGTGATAGTTTTAAAGATGTTATTAGGAAGATGAAAAGCAAAGCGAAGCCTCCAAATCTCAGGTGAGGTAAAGATGTGCTTATTTCTTTGACAGAAAAATTTTTTTAAATTAGAGAGCCGCAGAATTTGTTTGGAAATGCTCACACACAGGGATTGGATTGTTCACATCAGTAGTGAGAAATGTAGGCCTTCATCTCTACGTTAGCACATTTATAAAACGTTACCATATGGTAATCAGTGCCAGGTGCAGACTGAGCTGTGGAGCCTCCAGACTGATACCAACATCACAGTGGACTCTTCTGAAGAACTTGGCTTTGAAAGTCTAGGATTAGATTATATGCCACCACCACAACACTGCCCATTAACCTCATCTTTTAACTCTAGAAACAGTTCTATAATTGAGTCCCATAAACTAAAGGGAAAGAGGGAGTAAGCATTGGAGGGCTCAGAATGACACTGAGACAAACCAGCGTCTTCCAGATGTAGAATACTCACTTTAAATGTTTCTGTACAGTGTAGAGAAGCTGTAGTGTGAGACGTCCATGCTAGGTTAGTAGGAGTGGAGGGACAGTATTCAGGGAGCTGTCTTTATATTTGTAGTGTTGAAGACCTGTTCGTGATTCATTTGTGGTCACCAGCTGAAAGATCTGTTCTTGGGGTGTTCTGGAGTGATGGGGAACAGACGGTGGGACTTGTCTCCCACACTGAGTCATTTACTTGGCATGCTTGTTTGAAATCAGACCTCTCAGGAGCACTTTGGAATAGTTATTAGGTTAATGAATATTTTGTACTTTAAATGTAAGTATTGATGGCTTGATTTAACTAGATATTTTAAATTTTGAAAGCACAAAAGTATTTTATCTCTTTGAAGTAAGGGAGAAAAGCCATTGGTTGTTTTCATAGACAATATCTTTGAAGATTACCTATCTCAGCACAGGGGTGCCTGGGAACCAAGGGCACCATTAAAACTCAGTCACAGCACCTTCCTAGGAACCAGTTTTCGTGAGTCCTCTGTCTGTAACCCTACCCCGGAAGCCTCCAAGAGGTGTGGGCCTCAGGAGATTGATGATCTGCTTTCTCTTTGAGATCAACTGATGTGGAGAAGTGTGTGTGTGTGTGTGTATTTCCTTTTTTAAATGAAAGTTTACAACCTTAGCTCAAGTGTATGAGGCAGACCGTTCTGTTTGTAAACTACCTCCTTCCTGGAAAAGTCTCAGCTTCATGTTTTTTGAACATCCAGAGTTCTTAGCATCAAAAGGTGACCTACCACTTAAGCTCGGTATTCACCGGGGAGCCTCTGTTTGGTGTCTGTAGCTGGTATCCATCACGAGTCATTTTGCCGGGATGATGGCTGGTGGGCCAAAGTCGCCCAAGTTAAGGGAAGGGAGCGGGTTGGATGAGTTTTTGAGGTATCTGTCATTATCTTAGCTTTTCATCTGCCCTGGCCCATATCTACTCATCTGTATGCTGGGGAATGTTTAAAACAACCAGGCTCTCAGAAGGGGAAAAAAAGCCCTTAAATCGTAGCGTTTGCTGATTCCCGTGATGCAAGCGACTCCCCCTGGGGCTCGTTTGAGGCCACTGCCTTCGAGTTGAGGGTGGGTGGGCACAGCGCTGCTCTCGTGGCCGGCCGTCGCCACGCCACTCCAGGCCTGGGTGGGCTTCCACATAATTTCCAAAGTCATTCTCTTCTTGTTCCTACGCTGGTTTGTTAAGATACAAAATTAAAATCACATGTCTAACTTCAGTAATTTTTTTTTTAATGGTTTGTCAATGCTTTTGTGATGTAATATTCCTCATGGTGTATTTTGTGTGTTCTAACAAAGGTGAAGACTTCCATTGATTTTTAAAAATACATACTTAAGGGAATAATCCAGAAATCCTCAAAAAGTCAGTGTAAGCTTCTTAGAACTAAAACATAGGTTTAATTTTTCCACATTTTGATGGCTAAAATAGGAGTATAAATTTTTTCTTCAGATTTTGACAGGAAAAAGTAAGCCCATGAGCCCATATATATATATACACACGCGCGTACATATATATGGTGAAAGGGTACTGGATTTTTTTAACTGGAAGAATTCCTTGACCTTTTACATACTGTATTAGAGATCCAAAAAGGCAGGTCTGTTGAATCTCTTTACCTGGCACAATTTCTAGTTTTCTCCATACTGTGCGTCACTCAGGCTTGGAGGGGAAAGGAAGTCAGAGGCTTGGGATGCTGCGGCCGTCAGAGCAGCCTCTGGGTAGTAACACGGCAGGCCCGTTCTAGCAGGCGTTGTGTGAGGTCTGGCCCAGTAACCTTGTCTTATCCTGATCTCAGAATATTTGTTAGGATGGTGAAGTTCTAAAGGCAGTTTTGTAGGTTTCTAGGGAACGTAAGCCCCTGGACGCACCCCCTGACACTTCAGGAAAGCGGCCTCCAGCCTTTCCGAGCACACACCTTGCTCAGTAAAAGTTTTTGAACACCAGTTTCCTCTTGCAAGATCATACATGTGTAGTTGTCAACCGCTGTGTGAAAGTCACATGTACATTATAAGACAACACAAAAATCGGAATTAAGGATGGTGTAAAAAGGAAATCTTGACTGGAAGTTCCACTATTTTCTTCTTGCCCCCAGGAGATTGTCTTGTGCACCTTCTGGCAGCACGTGCTCTCTGCCTTAAAGACCACTGACTCAGGATATTGTTTACAGTCTGATCTTGAAAACGAGAGGTGGATGCTTTTGTTGTGATCCATGCAAAAATCCTTTACATGTTTGACCTGATTATCATGTCAAATCTCTAGAAGTTCAGTTTTGTTTTTTTTTTTTAAAGATTTTATTTATTTATTAGAGAGAGACAGAGTGAGAGGCAACACAAGCAGGGGGAGTGGGAGAGGGAGAAGCAGGCTTCCCGCTGAGCAGGGAGCCCGATGCGGGGCTCGATCCCAGGACCCCGGGATCATGACCTGAGCCGAAGGCAGACGCCCAACGACTGAGCCACCCAGGCGCCCCTCTAGAAGTTCAGTTTGGAAATCTTCAGGAAAGGTTGTCTTCAACTTCCTGAAGTGTTATATTAATTCTTTTTCATACATGACCCATTACCGAGTGTTTTCTAGAGCTTCACGCATAGTATTTTTGACAGCCTGTTGTGTCTTTTCTCTCCAAATTAGGTGTGACTCTGTAATTGACTTTTATTTTACTAGTCTGCTTACAAACTTCTTTTGGCCTTATTAGTGTTATGTTTTACCAACAAATTCTGAATTATTTTAAGTTGCTTTATGCAAAACTATATAACATCCTCCATTTTCTTGCTGCATTCATGAGTTTTGATTTTTTATTTGTTGGAACATTTCAGCATCTGAAGAAATACTTTCCTTGATGGGCCAGTGCTAGTTATCACTTCCCTAACTTGTATATATTTTAGTTATCCATGCCAGAAATGTAGAATTGTGCTCAGGCGCCGCTCTTAGGCGTATAGACGAGTCTGGAGAGGAGTGTGTGTGTCTTTGTGCAGAAACCTGGGGCTCCGAGTGAATCACCAAACCAATGGGGAAGTTAAAAAGACTACTCACCGTGTTATCTGAGGGAGGGACAGAACATGTTAGTTTTAAATGGAGCTGAGGAGTTAATTGTTCCCCCCATAGGGAAGTGGAGGTCAACATTAATTTTCTTTCTTTAGCAGGTACCCTGACCGGAGAAGGGTTCTATGGAAAACATTTTTATGAATTATCTTCTTGGTTTTGGGTCAACAAATAAATGTTATTTTTAATGCAGGAATTACACAAAACAAGGTGCCCTGTTGTTCCTCTTAGGTCATCAGAATTCTGCTTACTGGAGTTTGAAGTTTTAATCTTAGAATCTAGAATTCTTGTGGGTGGTAGTGTATGAAGCAAGAAAAGAAGGCGGTTTGATTTCATTTCTCGTACTTGGTGGAACCTGTTAGCACAAAAGTCATGTTTTGACCTGTAAACAGAGCAGTCTGAAAGGTGAGTTGTTGATGTGGTTTAAATGTTCCATTTGAAGGTGCCAGTTTCTTCAGGCTTTTCCGAAAAAAAAAAAAAAAAAAAAATTGCGGTAGATTGACAGCCTGCCAGAAAATGGCAGCTGCCGGGATGCTGCCATTCATCGTGAGAGCGGGAGGCCCAGAGTGGCTTGTGTGAGAGGGGAGGCGCGTTGGCTTTCCGGCTTGCTGCAGAAAACCAAGATGTTCAAGCTGTTGTTAAGGTCGTTTTAAATGAACCCCCTAACAAAACTCAGGAGGGATACAGTCAAACACAGTAAGGCTCTTGAACTCTAGTTTTTTTAGTTATAATACACATCAGAAAGTTTTGTGAGATTTAAAATTTTATTTTTAAAGATGTAATTGGAAGACTAGAGCATTTCCTTCCAAGTCATTCTGGTGTATCGGCTGAGTACCTGTGTACGTGTGGATATGCTGATGTGCTGAGTGTGTGCGTGCGCGTGCGTGGAAATAAATCTTTCAGAGGGAACATAGAGTTTTCATCCTCTAGGATGGCTCCTAGGCTATTTTATGCGAAAATTTAAAAGAAGATTGGCCGCACTTTGCAGTTGCTACTTTTAAAAAACAAATGCCTTGCACATATATTTTTAAATCCCTAGAATTCATCGACCTTTAATTGCTTGCCACCATTTTAGAGCTAGAAGGCTGCCATGTGCTGAACAAAGCCGCGTTGACCCGCTCTCCTGCGCATGCATCGCTGCCCTTTCCTAACATTTCTACACTTCTGCTTTTGTGTAGAATCCTCATTTTGGTGGGGTCTAAATTTCTCAGAGAGGGTGTTTATACGAAGTAGTATTTCTAAAGTACAGATTTGACCGTGAATTGATGAAATGGTGGGGGAGTTCTGGCACCGTAGCCTAGTTTATCCTTCTAAACTGTACCGAAGAGCATTAGCAGAAACCTCAGAGTACCTTGGGCTGAATGTTCTTCTCAGCTTTGCCTTGTTTCCCATCTCATAAGGGCCCATTCTGACTCTTGTCCCTCCAAGGATTATGAGCTGTGCTAGGACAAGCCTGGGACCTTCAGGACAAGGGTGGGCGCGCCCTGTGGCCAAGCCAGAGTTCTAGCCAGTAGAATCATTCGAGTATGCCTAGAATAGAGTTCAGAGGTGGGAATGCCATGTACTGGTATTAAATCACTTGGCACTTTTGGGGGCGCCATTATTAGCACTGTTTTGTTATTAATAACTGGAAGCACTTAATGATTATTTTGTTTAATTTCGACCTAAGGATATTGAGGGTCAGAGAAGTAATGTTTATTTCTCGTTTATGTTTTCTGGAATTAAGACTCTTTGGAGAAGAGACAAATGGATTACCTAATGAGCCATTCTTTCAGGCTCTGTAAGGTATGCTTTTTTGGCTAGGATATTTTAAAATCATTTACAAGCTTTTAGTATTGTGCTTTGTAGAAATGTATGACTTTTTAACTGATTTGCAATTGATGGAATACACTCAGCTTTGTAAACTATCCACTTTTCTGTTTCTTTCCTGTTTACTCGTTGTTGCTTATTGTCTATTAGACAAGGGACACGGTCCCTTCTAAGACATTTCATATTTTCTGTTTTTGAGGGCAGTATTACCAAGGCCTTTATATGTACATTACATTCAGTGCTTATGTGAGAAGTAGCAATGTCTTACGACCTTCCCTGTTCACGATTAGTGAAACTAACTAATATGCATATATGTAAAGATAGAAATTAATGCAATTAAGTTTTTTGATCACTCGCGGCCTATTTATTCAGTCCGGCCATTTGATTTTCCTAATCACAGTCATATCGGTTTCTGCACTTTTGCCTTCATGTAGTTTCACTGACCTCTGTGGGTAGGGAAGATTAAATATGAAACACTCAGTCCAGTCATTCTGCTACTGGTAGCTTTGGTTTGAGGTGAATACAATTTTTGACTAAAATTAGTTTCTTAGAATTATACCCTTCATTGGCCAGATAATTAAATTGGCTTAAAAAAAAATGTATATTTTTGCATATTGACAGTAATTTTTTATGAGCCTTACTGGATCTTCAGGTGTGGCTATCACATGAAAGTTGAATGTTATTAAATAGTAAACATTTGATTTTCATCCGCCCTGTGTCTGATGCAGAAGAAAAGCATTTGTCTGTTGTGGCATTAACACTGGAGAGAAGTATTCTTTTTTACGTCCCCGTCTTAGTTCGGGATATGCGGTAATAAGAACTTGTCAGGGTGCTTCCCTCCAGCCTAGATCAATTTTCCCCCTTGTTTGTTGAAATCGATCTCTCACAATATCTAGTTTCCACCACTTCTGTGTAATGCTGGCGCGCACTTACCCGAAGGAATGAATGACGGGTAATGCGTCACTATAACTTGGCTTAAAGTCAGTGTAATTTACATTAGGGAGACCTTCAAAGTATTAAAATTGCTTTTTTCTTCTTTTTCCTAACACTGCAATTGACATGATGGTAACCACTACCATTTATTAAAATCATACTGATTGTTGGTGCAGCGGGAGAGAAGCTGCCATGGCTTCTAGCTGAGCAGTCTGGCCTAGCCTGTTGGGAGGCAAAGGGGTGGTGTTTTAAGGTCGATTAGGATTGACTGTAGCCAGAGTTTCAAACTCTGTTTGAATGTGGCAAAGAACCTTCACACAGAGCGCAGGTAGGTGAGGACGACGATGCGCTAGCACTTTGGGGGCTTTATGATATGCTGCTTTTAAAAGAGAGAAGTGTAGCTGATCCTCAGTGCATCTCCAGACATAGCAAGGGGTTGCTCTGATAACCAATCCGGTGACCGTTTTTTCTGTCACTTCAAGTTGTATGCAAAACTTTTGTTAAATTCTGTAATGGTCTTTTTAGAAAGAGGGTATGTTAAAAACAACTATTTTTATGCAGGAACTGACAGAGGAATTTGCTTTGTATAATGGCAAGCTAGCTTTAAGAAAGCACTATAGCAAATTTACTGAAGTCCAAAACTATGTGGACATGTTAATAGATCTATGTGCAACTAGATATGGACAACAATTGTATTTTTTTAAATAAATATTTTTAACAAAATGACTTTCTGAGTTGATTATTCCTCTCACATCCATTGAGCTGGTCTGTGTGGATTCTGTGTTCATCCATGCTAAATAGATAAGTGTAAGTTAAAAGTTCAGTTTCCCAGTGGTTATCATTAAAACCCGCCCTTCAACTATTTGATGCGTATCTACATTAAAATATTTAAAGCCTGAGTTGGGATATAGGTGGTGGAAAGGGGAGACTGTAAAATGATCACTAATGTAAAAAGGAATTAAGAGAACTGCACGGGCTAGAAAAATTATTCACCATTTAAAATCTTTTTTTTTTTACTTGTGAATTTCCCTTTTTTTTTTTTTTTTAAAAAGATGTTATTTATTTGAGAGAGAGAGGAGAGAGTGCCCACAAGCAGGGGAGTGGAAGACAGAGGGAGAGGGAGAAGCAGGCTTCCCGCCGAGCAGGGAGCCCGATGTGGAGCTCAGTCCCAGGATTCTGGGATCATGACCTGAGCCAAAGGCAGACGCTCAAGCGACTCAGCCACCCTGGCGCCCCATGAATTTCACTTTTTAATTTTTTTTTTTTAAAGATTTTATTTATTTGACCAGAGAGAGAGACACAGCGAGAGGGAGGGAACACAAGCAGGGGGAGTGGGAGAGGGAGAAGCAGGCTTCCTGCGGAGCAGGGAGCTCGATACGGGGATCGATCCCAGGATGCTGGAAACATGACCTGAGCCGAAGGTAGACGCTTAACGACTGAGCCACCCAGGCGCCCCTCACTTTTTAATTTTAAAAAAATTAATCAGACTCATTCTAGCCCTTGCGAGAAGCATGTTTTGCTTATTTCTGCTCTAGACATTGTCTCCTCGTGTAGTCTTTAGCATAAGAAACCGGAGACTTGAGTTTATGAAGTAAATGAAATGAGGCCCTTTCAGAACTGAGTTGATACCATATCCATGGGGGAAAGCGGGAGGCACACTTTACATCACAGAGGTCTGCCTCCTATCTCCAGGTGTGGATGACAAGATGGAGTCACAGAGGATTCTTTGGGGGGAAGCAGTGAAGGTGGGGGTAGGCTGTGTTCAGGCGGTTGGGTAGGAACCACTTCTGATGAGTGCTGGATCCTCCTAAGCCACTGTGGTCAAAATATTCCCTAAAACAGGAGTCCCATGAGGTCGAATAAGTTCGGGAAATGGGGGCACCACCTCTTGGAGATGCAAAATACATATTAGGATATGAAAAGCTCTAAGAAATCCTTCAGTAAAAAAGCTTGTTTGATCCACCATTTTCTAAGCTTTCTGTGGACACATCCTCCTGAGAAGCATAAGGTCCATTTTGCAATCACTTTGAGTTTTTTTAGATGCCCCTAATGACAAAATACTAGCCTAACATTGGGTAATTTCCCAGGGCTTGTGTTAGAAGGTAGGAGAGACTCTAACGGCTGGAAGCTTTCATACCGATCGTCACTGGAAAGCACAGCACTTACTGTGATATGCCCTGTAACTGGAGTCCATGAAGGTGACTTCCTTTGGGATAACCTTCTGAGGACGGCGTGTCATGAAAACTGAAACCGGAAAGATCATTTCTACCGGATGGAAAGCCCTGGTGTCAAGGCGGTTGCTGGAGCATCACTTTGATGTTAGGATTCCCACGCACTTTGAATACATCGTCGTCATCATTGCCAGAAACCCTGCTCTCATCGAGGCCACCGTCCACGTTGCCCAGTCCAGCAGTTGATGCTCAGCCCTCATGGGAACCCCTGGTGGCATTTGTTATTTCCTCCTCCTCCTTGAGATACTCTTCACGATGCCTTCTAGGAAACCACAGTCCCTCCTGAACTTCTCTTTTCCTGGCTTCTCTCACTTGCTCTGCTGGATCAGATTCTTTCTTCAAACCTCTAGGTGTTGAAGAACCCCAGGGCTCAACCTTCCAGCCTCTCAACGTTCTCTCTCTCGGAGGTCTTCTTCAGTCCCAGGACTTCAAGCGCTGTATGTATGTGACCACGAAATTTGTATCTTTGGGCTTGACTTTGAAGCTCTCAGCTTTGAAACTTACCAGCCTTCTTGATATCCAAGATAGCATCAAAAAATGAGCATGTCCAAAACAGAACTCTTGCGTGCCGCCCCCTTCATCTTCCAGTGGCCAATGGCCTTGTCATAGGGCCAGTAACTCAAGTCACATGCACTAGGGTCATCCTAGATTCTCGTCTTCCTCACACCCACGCCCCATCCATCAGCAAATCCTGACTTTCGAAATATGACTTGAACCCAATCACATTCACTACTTCTGGTGCTGCCAACATCGTCCAAGCCATCATCCTGTCTTACATAGTCAAGGCAGTCATGCCCTTGCTGGTGTCCCGGTCTCACTCCTATCCCACCGTTTCTCCTCCACACAACAACCAGAGCATTACTCTTTTTTTTTTAAGATTTTTTATTTGGGAGAGAATGAGCAAGAGCACAGGAGAGGGGTTAGGGTCAGAGGGAGAAGCAGGCTCCCTGCCGAGCAGGGAGCCCGATGCGGGACTCGATCCCGGGACTCCAGGATCATGACCTGAGCCGAAGGCAGTCGTTTAACCGACTGAGCCACCCAGGCGCCCCAGAGCATTACTCTTAAGAGTGTAAATGAGGGGCGCCTGGGTGGCTCAGTCGGTTAAGCGACTGCCTTCGGCTCAGGTCATGATCTCAGGGTCCTGGGATCGAGCCCCACGGGGAGCCCACTTCTCCCTCTGCCTGCCGCTCTTTAAAAAAAAAAAACTTTAAATAAATAAAGTGTAAATGAGACCATGTGCCCTGCCTGCTCGCAACTCCCAAGGAGCTCACATAACCACAGGATCCGGACTCCTGCGGCGGCTTGTAGGATCCGGCCCCCGGCTGCCACTCCCACCTATTTCCTGCCTCTGTCGCCACCTTGCCCACTGCACTTAAGCCTGGCTGGCCTGTCTACTGCTCCTCAGGGACGACATGCCCATGCTGGCCGACACCCCTGTGCTCGCCCTGTCCCCCGCCCCACAGGCTTGTTCCCCGGTACTCGGAGTCCCTGCTTCTGCAGTGTCTAGGTTCCGGCACAAAGGGCACCTCCTTAGGAAGGCCTTCCAGAGCATCTCTGGTCAGTCTGTCTTCCCACTCCCTCCCCCCCTGCTTTATCTTCCTCTGTGGCACTCCGTTATCCTTCATCCGGCGGCCTGTTCTTGCTGCCCATCTGTCTTCCACCTCAGTGTAATCCGGGAGGCAGGGGCTTCTAGCTCACGCTCTGCTCTATTTCTGCACCTAATCAGTGCCTTGAACACAGCAGGTACTCCCATCATTCCTTTTAAAACGAATAAAGGAATCCTCTGAAAGACCTCTAGGTCATTCTGTTTTCCTTTAGTGAATCTGGGGTATGTATGGATTAGATTCCCGCCTCCAAGTAGCAGAGGGGCATCTGGGAACAGGATGATCCTGCCGCACTCTGAAATGTAAAAACTCTTAAAAGAGGGAGGATCAGGTAAAAAGCCCTACTTGCTCTGTAACTGATTTTGAAGTGTGGTATAAAAACCCGTCTGCCTGCCCTTATTCTGATTACGTTTAAGAGGGAACAGTGGTTCTCAGTCTTGAGAGTTTTGTTCTAAAATATCAGCTATGTGAACCTGGAGCTTGAGAGAGACCGCTTTTTTTTTTTTTTTTAAGATTTTATTTATTTATTTGACAGAGAGAGAGATAGCGAGAGCAGGAACATAAGCAGGGGGAGTGGGAGGGAGAAGCAGGGGGAGTGGGAGGGAGAAGCAGGCTTCCCGCCGAGCAGAGAGCCCGATGCAGGGCTCGATCCCAGGACCCTGGGATCATGACCTGAGCCGAAGGCAAATGCTTAACAACTAAGCCACCCAGGCGCCCCAAGAGAGACCAATCTTTGGTCATTTGTTTCTGAGCTTCATATAAAAGAATCCGTTGTCCATAATGGATAACACGCTTATTAAATTTAAAATATTTTATTTCAGGAAAGATACACTTAGATTCGTTTCAATCTTGTTTTCTATATTCTTAAATTAATCACGACACCTTAGGTAAAGCCAATGATTCTTCTTTCTAAATTTGTATAAAAAGGAAGGTTTTTTGTTTTTGTTTTTTTAAAACCACAAGAAAAATACAACTGCTTTCTTTTTTGTCCAGGTCAGTCACTCCCTCCAGCAGTGAGATTGCACATTTAAGTCTGACAGCCATCAAATACTTGTGAGTATTTACAGATCCAGTTAAAACGACACCCCTAAGACCGTCAGCTTTCAAAAAGAATTTGGATCTGTTTGACTTACAATAAATAGGTACCAAACATATGAACAATTTCGAAGCTGCTAATGAGGAGGTTTTAAAAATAAAAATTGCTAACATTGATTACGCTGTTTCTCTGTCAGGCATATAATCGTTACTTCAAACAAAGTCACTTCATTCTTTCAGAAGTCCTTTGAGGTAGGGTACGTGCTTTTAGAAATGTCACTTAGATTAAAAAAAAAAAAAAAAAAAGAAGCCAGGCCGGAAGAGCATCCGTGATCTCTCTGCCCAGGGCCACACACGGCTAGAGGGGGAGGCCAGCGCTCCCACCAAGCTCGCGCCCGCCGGGGTCCCATCAGCACACAGGGTGCCGGCAGACGGGACCAACGCTCAGATGTGGGAGACCCCTGTCCGTGTGGGGCACACCGCTTATACCCGTTGCTGAGAATGTGGATCCACTCTCCCTGTTCATCATACCTGTACGTTCGTACCTACACAGAGAATCTGCAGGTAAACGAATGTACAGTCACGGTGATAGCCGTTTCACTACTTATGGACGCCTCAGTGCTGTTAACGCTTTCCAAGCGGCCGGCTGGGGATTCCGTCTGTGTTACTAGAGGATTCGCTCTGGGCCGGCAGTATGCCGCACCGTTTGGATCGCTCGGCAGTCCCAGCTTTTTGTTAAAGGAAACAACTTGACATGGTATAAAGAGCTCTTTTTCCTCTATAAAAGATGGAAAGTTTAAATTAGATATTTTGGAGAAATTCTTAGTGCTGTTTCTACACCTTTTGTAACCGCAGT